AAAAAAAAAAAAAAAAAAATAGGGATCGTCCTAAGACTATCGACTTTTTATTTTGCCAAGATCATTAAAACCAGCAACCAAACAGCAAAACAGAATCAAATAACAAACACTTAAAAAAAATAAAAGGAATAATATTAAAAAGTGCCAGGGGCCCGGGGATTTAGCTCAGTGGTAACACTGCCTGCCTTGCAAGCGCCAGGACCTGAGTTCAATCCCTGGTACAAAAAACAAACAAACAAAAAAAAGGGCCAGGGAGAGAAAAATAAATACATGTGATCAGCATTTTATTTAAAAAGGAATGTCTGAGATGACAAAAACAAAACAAAAAAACAAAAACAAACCTAATTTCAGCATGAAGGGTATTTCAACAAAGTTTTAAACCCACCACATTAACCTGACATTTTTTGCTTTTTTTCCTTTTTGCTTGACATTTCTTATTTTACCTGTGCAGTTGCCAAGTGTCACAGATTGGTATGGGATGGCCTTTGACTTAATGGTCACACTAACACCGCGGAGGACTCACCGTTTCAGAGGAGAAGATATCGAGGTTCTTAAATACCGTGACACGACCTATACTTTCACACACACCCAGAAGCAGGGCCAGGGTCCCACTGAGCTGGACTCCAAGCCTGGATATGAACCAGCGGATGCTGCGATCCCAACCCAAAGGGCCCCACCGTCCACGCCAGTTCTACCCACATCTGACTCACAGCTGGGCATGTGCCAAGTCTGCCCTGGCCCTGCAGCCTTATCCACCACCTTCTGGCTGCCTTATCTCCGCCGGTGGCCGAAGCTCTTATCTGTTCCTGTTCCTGTGCACAGCGTGGTGATGGGGAGATAGCAGAGGCCCACACTCTGGCAAATCTGTCTCCTCCTTTCCCTTTATCCTCAGGCTCATCCCAAGCACTCCCTGCTGCTTGCCGCTCCATCTCTCCCGAGGCGAGGAGGAGGCAGTTTGGGGAAAACTGCTTGGCTCTCTAAAGTGACAGGGGACCTGAGAGGGTGGATGAAAGCATAGATAGGCTGGAAGGACTCTCTGCTTTTAGAAATGGAATCGGATAATATTAAAAAGCATCAGGGGGAGGAAAATAAATAGAGATGGCTGCTAAACTCATGAAAAGATGCTCAGCCTTTGTTGCAATGAAAGAAATTCAAATCAAAGCAAGATAATGTTCCCTCCATGTCAGACTGTCAGTGACTTTCAAAGCCAGCGTAGGCAGGCGTGCCTGGTGGGTGAGGGAGGGTGAATCCGCAGGTCTGTTGGTGGCACTGTAACTTGGGGAACATCTCCCAGAATCTGAAGATGTCGGAAGCTCTTTGACCTGGGAGTTGCATGCTGGGAACTGGCCTTTAGATAGACTTGCGACAGTATGATAAAAATATGTGGACCAATGTTCCCGGCAGCATTACTTTTAATCACAGAGACAAACAAAGAAAAATTGAAAGCAAACTAAATGTCCATCAACATCGCATCAGATCAATTAAAAAAAAATGCGGCAGCCCTGGAATGAATGAAGAATACTTGCATGTAATGAAACAGAAAATAATTATTCTTATTATTAAGAATAATAATGAAGCAGTATGAGTTGCCATTTAGTAACTCAGGCCATCAAATCCTGTTTCATGGTTTGGGTTGTGCAAACTGGCCAGATAGAAATGATTTAATATTTTTGCCACTACCCCCCAACAGCCAAAGAGTGCTGTGATGATATGATACTACTTGATATGTGATCATTTTGGGAAACTGAAATAGTGTGCGTGTTTATGTGCCTAACTACAAATGCATATATGCAAACACACACTTATAATCACACTAACACACCCATGTGTACATAAAATTTTTCCAGGATGGAGCATCCAGAACGCGTTATCTGCCTTTAGGGAGAGGTAGCCAAGATAAGTAGGGAGGGGAACTTCTATTTTCTGATTTTATGTCTTCAGTGCCATCAGAGTTTTCTTTATCGGCTACATATACTGCTTTTATTTTAAAAATAAAATTTAAAAAAATGCACTTTGTGCGTATAATTTAAGTATACATTATAAAAAAGGCACCAGGGACTCATTGGATCTGGATTTGTTTGCTGATGCCAGTGATGCGTGGTGAAATTTAAACTTTAAGAAGTCCATCTTTGTGGAAGACTGTCCATTTGCTTCAGCCAGACACCCCTGGGGCCATGAGGAAGGTGACAGGCTGTTGGTCTGTCCCCTCCCAGAGGCCTCCCTCTGTCCCTTCTGCAATGGGAGGCAGGGCTTCTGCCAGCAATGCCAAAGCTCCCTTCTTGCTCCCCTAACCTGCCCTTCCCTCTTCCTGAGCTCCCTCCTTGCCTGGGAGACCTATTTTGGGCTTGAGGCAATATTATTTAAAGTAACAGTTCCACCCGCTACCTTTCCTACCAAGGAACCCAATTCCCTCCACCCAAACTGCAATTCAACTCCCAGCTCCCAGGCCCCAGGCGGGTGGAAGAGGCAGCTGGCTAAGGTCTCCCTCTGCTGGTGAACACAGCACCCAGGAAACACCCTGATAATGGCAGTGCTCTGCACAACTTTGCCCACCCCACCCACCCATCGCAACTGGCTGGGCCGGGAACTGGACAAGCCCAGCCCTGTTTGGATCTGCATCAGCGACAACAGGATGGAAGAAATGGCTTCCGCCGAGAGGCCCGACCTGACCCACCCAGGAGGAAGTGCAGCTTGGGAGGAAGCACCACGATTTCCAAATAGGAGAGAGGTCGGCTTGACTTTCACCTTTGCCCATTCTGGGAAACTGGTGGACCAGTGTGAGCCTCAGCTCCCATCTCTGCAAAGTGGGAATAATAATGGTTTCTTTGGAGCACCTCCAGACAACCTGCAAGGAGCATCACCAGGTGCTGTGCAAATGCTTACTGAATGAGCAGCACACAGAAGAGTCCCTGGGGAAGACGCTGGGTGGGTGGGGGCACAGGGGAGGACCAAGATGGTGTAGCAGGAGGCTCCCCCACCCCCAGAGTGGGCTAAGGACTCCATGCCCAGCATCAGAGGAACACAGATTCCCTCACCCTGCATATTTCTGGGCTTCCAAACTCCCAGCTCAGTCATGTCCATTTGCAGGCTCCAGGTGGAAGGGCCTGAGGCTCGCTCCTCCGGGGAGAGCAGCTGTGATGGCCGGTCAGCAGCAGCCTCTTCCTCATTCGCCAACAACCTCGCGCTCCATCCAGTGAGGGAGAGTTGCAGTTGTGAGGCCTCCAGGGGCCAGGGCACACTTGGACTCACCCAGCCCCCGGGTCCCTTACAGAACCACTTGCTTATTTATCATTCATTATTTAATAGAAGTATTGTCACATGCTTCAGAATTCAAACACAAGAAAAAGAGTGCCCAGTAAGAAATCCCTTCCACCCCGGTGCTCCAGCTCCAGCTGCCCATCCGCTGGAGAGGAAATGCCTCAGCTCTTCATTTCTAGAGTATCTCCCCAGGATTTCTTTGTGCAAATGCAAGCAAATTCAAATTTCAATCCCTCCTCTTTCTAACCTGGAGACCCTGCCTCCCCTTGCTTTGTGCAGGTGACAGTGTCCCTTGGAGATCTTCCCATAGCTGCACACATAGCCTCCTCTGGCTTTCTGACAGCCACAGAGCATGGATGAATCTTCTGGGTGGAGGGAGCTTTGCTTTCTCCCAGTTCGATGATTTGAGAGAGGCTTGGAGGCTGGGGC